CTCTCTCTCTCTCTCTCTCTCTCTCTCTCTCTCTCTCTCTCTCTCTCAAACTGTCCTTGCTCTCGTATACAGGTAACATAATGTTTAAAAATACGCATATAATTGATCTGGGGCTAGTTCAGGTTGCTCTTTACCGAGTATATCTATCACGTTCAATAGGGAACATAGAGTAAAATGTCGTTTATAAATGCATTTATTCGATGGTATTGATGGACATATAATGGCCACTTAAACCTTAGGAAACATGGAATTAATGAACCAGTTTTTGGGCGGGACAGAAAGTGGAAATGTATGATTACTAGAAACTACTTAATAAGTATTAATATGAAAATTATAAAGCTCAACTTAGATTTTAAAAACAAGCAGAAGAAGAAATTAGACGATTTACATATAACAAGCATATATATTTAAATCAACTAATTGCACTCTTTAGGAAATTTGAGTTTTCTCACCATTTTGTGTTTTTGATTTTCAAATTTTATGTTTCTATTGTTTCCATACTTATTTTTCTTACTCTTCTTTGCAACATTTTGTGATATGCACATATATCGATAATATCATAAAAGTATTCGCTTGTAAATGCTACGGACGTGAAGACTACCTCGATACGAAAAACAAGTGTAACGTATCGTGCGCTAACGCGATAACGAGAACACGAGTGCATAGCGTGCACAACACACGTACCTTTCAATGCATTACGCAACTAACCCGACGAACCTAAGTTCGAGGAAAAAGAAGAGGCATGCATTGCCTACAGCATTACCAACGTGTCCTGAATGGGTTAGGCAACGGTGAAACAACTTGTATCCGATTTTGAAAATCGGCTTAATTGCCTTAGTTGCTGTTGGTAAAGGTTCATTTCAGATTGACTCACCAAACAAAAACAGGGATGGCATATTCCGTTTTATTGTTGGAGGTTAATAGACGGCCTGCATCGTGGAACCTTTCGCTTTCGATTATCGTAGTATTGGCATGTGGATACGTTAGGCATCATCATCATCACCTCTTATAATTCTGAACACGCTGCCTTCGAGCTACACCTCGGCTAATTCGAAACTCAGAAATGCGATGTAATACACACAGGGAGATCAGATCTATTGTGAGTCCTTTCGCAGGTCCTTTTCAATTCCCCAACTTGTGTATTTTAAAGGTACGCGACATTTTTTTTTTTTGTTTTTTTTGAACTAATGTCAAATTTTCATATTACCAAAGCAATAAAGGAACTACTGGCTTTATTGCAGATAATAGTTTGCAAGGACATTTGGATAGTTTGCAGACTTTTGTGGATTCGTCTCCTACTTTCTAATTAGTTAATAAGCTTGAATAAATTGAAACACGAAAATTCAATTCAAAGAAACTAAAAACCGATAGGATTCCCCTATGAAAAACATCTGCAACGTCGATTGTATAAAGGTAGGGACTCTTTTTTTCCCCGTCAGCGTATAAACCTTTCTCACAACGAAACAAATTTTAAAGATTCAACCAAGACTAGATGTTATTCACCTTTGGGCGAATTAAGGGATATTTACGCGTAGGCGCGAAAACTTTTAAGCATGTGATGTGTGAGTCCTGACTAAAAATACACCAATGCCAATTGGTGGCGAACAAACAGATATAGATACATAAGTTTTCTAGTAAACAGGTCTATTCTGATCTTTCGATTAAGAGAAAAGAAAACAAATGTTAAAACACATACTATTCTTGAGGAAACCGTTGGCGGTCATTTTTTAAATTTTACTTTCAACTTCTGAAAACCAATTATCAAACATGGCTCTATTGCTAACTCAAATACAACCCAAAGGGTTAGAAATTTAATTAGCACTAGCCAGACATCGGCTAATGTTAAACTGAATACTTCGCATATCGCAATATCAATAAATTGTTGATCTTCGTAAATATCATGTTCCCAAGTACCGTAAACTTTTCTTACATCAAATCCACGCATTCTTCTAATTGTATCGTTCGAGAAATCCTTCGGGAATATTTCAGATCGATACTCTTTCCCAAACTTGATGCATTTCTCGATAACGATATGACGTACATTCCAGAAAAGCACAATACTCTGGAATATAGATAGATAGGTAAATGCAAATAAATGATTAGATAGACCTTGAATATCGGAATACCCTGCAAGAACTTACAAAAATACGTACATGCAGCCTTATGTAAGAATAGTTGGACTGATACAGCCAAGTACCCAAAGCAAAAATAAAAAGAACTGTTGTGGCCATCATATTGGCGACTTGGCATTCGAAAATTAACACGTCCATCGGGAAGCGCAATATGCCGCCGCACAATTGAGATAATCGATGAAAACGATACTTGAATGCAAATGCGAGAAAGTCAGATGTGCTTAAATAAAATGATAAAAAAATTTTATTTTAAACTTTACCGCCAAATACAGCATTCCTATGGCCACAAGTTCACGTAGCGATATCAAAAATTTGAAAAGCCTGAATGCAATACGTAACCCCCTTTTTCTCTTCGAATCCATAATAATTACTGTAAGCTTTTCCTTTTATTTGATTCAATAAATTTCATTTTATTTTTATTTTAAAATTTATTTATTTATTTTTTATTTTTTTTTCTGATCTTTATAACTAATTCAAACACAATAATAATAAATTCACTTATATGTTCACACAACTATTGCACACATATTAAAATAACAAAAACGTCAAACATTAACAAAAAAAAAAAGTAAAAAAAAAAAATATATATATGATAAGTAAGTAAACTAATGATAATTGGGGAAAATTGAAAAAGCACTTTATCATTGACGATTTCGTGTTGCTATTGCTTGTACGGCCCGAGCATAGACCATATACGCGTTTGTAACAATTATAGAACCGCTGAATACTAATATGAGATGCAGGATTTTGTTACTTAAAGCCATTTTTTGATCTTCATCGTCAAAAATGTTATGGTCACACCAACCGCAGATTCGATATGAATACTTGGAGTAATATTTGTTTCGGGAGGTGAAGAGCAAATAAAGTAAAACGGAATAAATAAAAACGTGCTGTTGAAAATGATAGTGAACAAAATGATACATATATGTTATCTACGCTTTGACTCCATCCATAAGTAGAGTGTATACATGTATATACATATATATATATACGTTTTTATATACATATTTGCATATTTAATGATAAATACTTACAAAGAGTCGTAAAAAGGTACGTGCAATTTCATTTTTAGGCGTTAGAAAGAAAGAGGCCACGCCCATATAAAAACTGATGAAAGATAGGCACGCACTGAACACCTGATGTTCGAAAATTTCCATTTCATACATAACGGGGAAGAAGTCAAGTAAAAAATAATTCCAAAGCGCAAGTCCCTGTAATATAGTAAAGCAAATGAATTGGGAACATGAACCCAATATGAATGAATGAATCGATTTATTTCCAAAGACCCAAAATTTAGAATGGCTCGTCTACCTTAGCTTAGTTTAGCTTAACTTAGTTTGCCTCGACCGAGCCTATGTCCAATGAGGACTATAAACGATATAATTCATTCTAAACAATGTTCGTTATACATCCTCGCTTCAAGGTATATCTTTGTACTAGCGCTTCATCTAACAAAAAAAAAAAATTCTCATATATAGACCGAAATAAAACGCAGTACATAAGTGCGCTTAAGATCAGGTCAGATCCAATTCTTTTTTTCTTTTTTCTTTTTTTTTTTTTTTGCGGCGTAGATGGCGTGCGCGCACACACTATACTCATTGCCTATTCACGGACGGATGTGCCTTTTTGTTTTGTTACGATGGAATTTTCGTACATTTTCTTCCTCTTTGTTCGCAAGAGGCAAACTTTTCACTTTCTTGTCACAGTTGCATGTAAGGTAACATATACTTACGCCGATAGCAAGCATAAAGAATCCTAAGCAATCTTTTCGAGTGAGGCACTTTGACAGTATCATTCTTAACCGGGAAGCGAGAAAAGCG